GTGAAAATCCTCCGCAATCAGAGCAATTCTAATTTCCAATACCACTGTCAAATCAATGCTTCTATATGGTTTAGAGACTTGGCGCGTTTAAAGAAAAACATTTCCAATAGCTGGCTACAGACTCGTATCAACAGCTGTTTTCGTTTGATACAGAAGATTAGATGGTCAGTTAGAAGATATCAAGAGCAAAGACCCATGGGAACGAACTAACCAAGAGCTGACTGCTCAACAAATGTGCACAAAAAAATGGAAATGGATTGGGCATGAGCTGAGGAGACCGTTGGGTAATATCGCACGCCAGATCAGTGCTCTAGTGGAACTCAAATGGGAAACGCCGAGTGGGGCATTCGACATGGAAAAGATTGTGAGAGGAGGAGATGATAAATTATGGGCAGTCGTGTAGCTAACCAAAGACAACTACAGAAAAAAGAATTGAATTGAGATGTGCCGATGAAGCCTTATGTTCCGCTCCAGAACCCAAATGAATTATTGTAATGTAAATAGTTGTACAACACTTGGTGTATTAAATCACTATCTACAGTAATATAACTGCTCCTGGTGAGTCGGTTATATTCGCTATTGCTCTAGGAATTTAATTTATTCTGTTCGGAAATAGAAGTCTAACTAAAACCACTAGCAGTACTATATTAGATCATCTTATCCAAACAAACCACAAAACCAGCTTTAAGGTTTCTTTTCCCCAATTATCTGTCATATACTAAATAAACTGCCAAAGGACTCTAGATACACAATCTTGCGAACAAAAGAAGTCAAAGCAACTTGCTAGAACCAACCGAAACTTTGCATGGATAACAATCAGGTCCAGTCATTATTGCTGTTGTGGAATGCTGTGGTATCTGTAAATTTATAAATTCTATATTATTTTCCTTAATTTTTCCGATATTCACTTTAGTCTTACTCATTGATGCATATTATCGCGTCGGTGGTTCGGAGGTAGAACGCTCGCCTCATGTGGTCTGGGGTTCGATTCCCAGTCGACGTACTTCTTACCTCTCTAAGCTGATAGCCAGGCTAGTCAAGAGGGATGGTTGGACTTGAGGTTAACAAATCCACACTCCGTAAAAATAAAACCACTGCTACCGAAATTTCAAAGCTCTAGGGTTGAAGCCCTATGTTTCACCCGTAAAGCCGAAGAAATATATTAATAATAAATAATAATACTGTGGTGAGAGCTGTCTACTAGCCAAAAATTGGTAGACAGTAATTTACGTCAATGTTCACGTCCCCAATATTGGTCATGAGAAAAAAAACAAGAACAAAGACTGACTCAACAACCAACCACAGCAGACTTTGCGTAGGCGGATACAATTTGCAGATAGATAATCTGAACTTCAAGAAACAGTCACAAAGAGATGAAAGATTAACTTTCAGTGAGAAACAGCCAATCAGAAGACTGTGTTTGTTTGCTTACAATAATCTATAATAATGTACATGAAAATATATAAATATGCTTTGATTTCCTTAATAAACGATCTGTTGCCTGACCCTTGTCTTCTGTTGTTACAATATTTATAATCGCATAGACATGCTTTGAACTGCTAACTGCTGATCTTATAGGTTCAATGGTCTTTCGAACATTGACGCTTTTAATAAAAATAGCTTCCCAACTATTATGGATCTCAGTAATTTCCAAATTCCCATTTGTGCATTTAGAAAAAACAACAGATTGAGCGAAGAAATATACATTCCTTTGCAATTAGTTCCTCATCATTGGCTCCAGGCCCAATCCTAGCAGATTTTTCCCTGGTGAAAATAGGGAATGGTCCTCTTAAAGATGCAATATGTAATCTTGATTTCAATTGCCTATATGTCGATTATATATTTATAGTTGTGAAGAAAGAAAGTGAGACTAAGGATATTTCGGGTAAATTCAATAAAGCACACCCTGGCATAAGCTTCACTCAAGAACAAGAAGAACATGACTCCATCTTCTGTATGGACGACCTAATAACTAAACGAACATGCGGAACAATATGTAGACGTTGACATAGAAAACCTACTTCCACTGGACAACATACTTACTTCCTAAGCTTCATACCTTCAAAATACAAACGTAATCTGGTTAGATGTCTAATTCACTTGGATAGAGTTATCTGTTCAAATGAAACACTGAACGAAGAACCCGGCATTGTTCATGATCTACTAAGCAGAAACGGATATCCGACTAAATTCATCGACAAACACATGAAGTCAGAAAGTAAAAAGTCGAAGATGCCCATTGTTCCTAAAAAATCAGTCTTCATAAGATTACAATTCAAGGATGATGTCAATAGCTAGATCTTATCACAAAACGACTTTCACTGCAGCTAAATTATGCTGTATGTTCACTAGTCAAACAATACTCAGTCGAAGAAATAAACACAAACTGCCCTGTTTCGCCTCTTCCATGTGTGTTTACCAGTTTAACTGCTCGTGTGAAGCTAGTTACATTGAGCATATGATCAAGCAAGTTCACCGTCAAATTTCTGAATACCTCCCATCTTGGTATAGTTAAGATCTGAGTAAAGCTGCTATGCTCAGCACAATACACTAGCTAATCAAGTTGAGTCTAACCAGGTTTTTAAAGGTTGTTATTGTATTTCAACCAGTTATTCGCCACATGCTCTATGAATGTGACTTTTACATTCAGCAACAGAAGCAATCGCGATTCATCTGAACATGATAAATCTGTGTGTGAGTGGAAAAGAAATTTGTACAGTCCTTTTGTTTGCCGTGGCCCCAGCTACATAAGATTTATTAAGTTTTGAAAGTCGATTACTTTTCCTCTACCCTTGTAACTAACTATCTTTTGACTTTGTTATCTTATTTGCAATTCTAGCTAATTCTATCAGCTTGTGTGTATTTTACGTAATTCTTGTGAGTCGTCATTATCTTACAAATTCCTTGATTATGTAATGACTTGTTGCTAACCTCTACGAATGAACTTAATTAATTCCCAACTCTCCATGCACTTATCCCCCTTTATGAATTTGATTAGAGCAAGAACAACAGTGGAGGTTTGTGCAGAATAAGAAGATGGTACCATCATTGTTTATTCCGTTGGTTTCTCATCAGCTCAGACGCTTACAGCCTAAATAAATTATGAGGTTTATGTACAGAAAAGTTTTAACATACTTGCCTGTCAGTTGACAGAAGGTTCCTCAATTAGTGAATAGTGCTCAGAGAATTACGCTTATATTGTTTTTAAACAGGCAATTCAAGTTTAAACAAAATAAATGTATGCATACAATGGTAAAGGAGTTACGTAATAAAGACAGGAGATACGTAAGAAGGTGAGTGACTAATAAATTAGGTAACAATTAACTGAGTTCAACTCAAATCATAGAAACAAGAGACAAGCAAAATTACAGATTATAAAAGGGGGGTGAGGTTAAAGACAAAGATTACGTAGTCAAATGAAAAAGAGAATAAAGGCATCCAGATATTAGTCTTTCCTTGCGCTGGTAACTGGATGTCTTTATTCTGATCGATTAAGCTTGTATCTAACTGCCCACCATCTTGTTTGCTATCATTGAGGATATTGGCGATCCCATTCGTTTGTTCATGTAGCTTATTTTGACATTAGAATACAGTGGAGGTTAGACATAACTCAACACCTAAAATTATTTCATCAACCGAGAGCTTATTCCTAATTTTGAGATCAAGATCAATGCGCAGTTCGTTACTAACTGCTTCTAAAGCCGTATTAATCCGAAAATATTAAGGTACAGTTGATTTCTAACTGCCTCCAGCGTTGTATTAATGGGAATGTTTGTATACAAACTTGTTATGCCAAAACTAATCACTTTTTTTCCATTTTTTTCTGATTGAATTTCCCCTAGCTTTTGTTTCATTGCATAAGAATTGATGAATACTATATTTATTTACTATAATTCCCTTGGGTTCCGAGTGGGAAAACATAGGGTTTCAACAACACATCTCCACTTTCTTCTATTTTCTGCTCTCCTCTTCAGCTGGTTCCACGATTGTTCATAATCTCCTCCATGTCACCCTCACACCAACAACCCACTCCTCGCTTCTCATTGGGATTCCACTCACTTTTATTCCTGTCTTGTTAAGAATTCTTCGAAAGGTAGTTTCCGAGGTTCCTTCCTTGTATGGAATTACCGCTGATGATTTAGATTCCATATTGTTGGTTTTGTCTTGCGCATGTGTGAAATGCATGTCGTCATTAATATTATTATTATCATTATTATTAATATCACTGTCACTATTATCATTATTTATTTTATTTTTACATTTCCCTACATACGTTCTGACTGATTTATCAGAGTAATTTTTAAGTTTCAAAGCTTCTCCTACTGTCTTAGATATTCCTTGGTACTACTTAGTTTTTGTGCTCTGTCACTTAAACATTTCACCAATCCTATTTTCACTGACATAGGGTGGGATGATCGGAAGTCCAAATATCTGTTTGAATGTGTGGGTTTCCTGTAAACACACATTAGTGTTTAACTTCCCATCTTCTTTCCTCTCTACGTTACAATCTAACATTGGAATTTCCCCTGTTTGATATATCTAATAAACCAACTAATATGCTGGTTCCTATTCATTCACGTTGTGAGATCAAACTTCTGAAGAATCCCCGAAATAAGATGAAACAGGTGGCCATCCAGTACTCCCAACTGGTTTTCAATGATTCCCTTCTAACTAACATCAATCCATGATCGAAACCTTTTTAAAAAAGGTAAAAATTTATCCGAAAAATTTATATTTTTGTCTGAATATAAACTCTCAATGAATAATGAATAGAACTTTATGCAGATGGAATGTTGTAACATTGGTAATAATAACAATAATAGTAATAATAATAGTAATAATGTACTGCTTATGACATAACAATGCTTACGTAATCACAATGATAATAATAATAATAGTAATGGCTACTACTGTTTAGTGAATGAATTCACAACAGTATTTAATTGTTTACATACAGTCAGTGCAAGTGTTTTACACGATCTACTATGTGATACTGATTGTCAAATTGATTTCAAGGAATCTATTGTATCATGAATTTTGGCGGAATCTCTTACTGTAAGACATGAACTGGCTGACATGATGCCCAGGAGTTGCAGGAAATGAGGTAAATCCTTGAGGAGAAACCAAAGTAAAGTAATAATAATAAGAAAATGAGAACATTATTTATCAATGTGGAATAAGTTATTAACAAAATGCACTTTGTAGGTTCACAGAAAGATGTTTGTCTGTCGGATTTCTAGCACTACTACTCATAATGGCACCACCACCTGCCAAGGTGCTCAATCATCTCACACGACAGTCACAAGATGGACTGTGATCAAACGGTGATGTTGAGTAAAGGGTTTGTTTCAAGCTTGACCAGGAATTGATATCAGTTAGGAAACCATTAGATAAGTAGTAAGTAATGGACAGCAGATGTTTTGTCCTAGTTTGTGACACTTCAGAGGTACACACGCCCACTACGATTCGAACCAGGGACTTGGTTTTCAATGGTTCTCTCTCTAACTGACATCAATCTGTGATCAAGCTCAAAGGTTTTAGGATTGTTAATAGGCAAGGTAATAAAAACGCTTATTACGTAATCAGATTTAGGAAGCCGGATTAATGTATACACAAAAGGAGACAGTAGGTAGCTTGAGTCCACCTTGGTAGGATACTTTGATTTGACCTTTATGATTTCCTCCCCTTTTACCCCCTCCCTCCTTTTTCTCTAATTTCACAATTCACGACCGAAGCGCAATCCTGTAATGATATCATCAATAGTTTCAATATACTATGCCAGAACTAATGTCAAATAGATGGTATAGTTTATCGACAGTCCACTTGGTTCTGTTATAGTAGACCGTGAAAGAACAAAGCTGAAGTCTGCAATCGACAAAACAACTTCTTACTGTTGATATGTCGACAACACATTTGTAGTATGCGACAGTGGAAATCACGCTTCCTACTTACTCGGATTATTCAGCGACGCACGCCAACACACACACACACATGCAAACATTGAATTCACTGTGGAGTATGAAAGTGATGGAAAACTTCAATTCCTTGACATTATCGTATATAACGCCAGAAGTATGGTAGTGTCTGGAGAGATTATCAATTTACCGAAAGGCTACATGGAAACGACACTACTACTCACATTTTAATAGTTTTCATCTAAATGGTTACATAAACAAGCACCGGTTAATAACCCTGTTAGGAGAACACAGTCTACCGAAAACTTAGAGAAGGAATTTCTTAATTCTCATTAATTTTGAAAAATAAAAATATTACCCTGAGAAATTTATTAACAAGTACGGGAGATGTGAAGGCTCATAAGTTAAACAAATCACAGGGGGAAAAAAGCGCCTGTCTTCATTCAAATTTATTTTAAAGGTGATATTGCAGGAATAATCGACAGAAGATTGAATGTATCACTAGCCAGAGCCTGTCTGGCAGCTAAGTTGGTTCCGATTTATCGGACGACATGCTCTTTGGTACAGTCAAAAGTCAGCAGATACTTTCCTCACGTTAACTACAACTGTGTATATAAGTTTGGATGTGTCTGCCGAGGGACAGTTACATTGGGAAAATAGAAAGAAGGGCACACCTCCGATTTTCTGAACATGTACCGAAAAGCCTACATCCCAAGGGAACAAATGCTTTCAACATTGCCATTGTCAGGCACTTCCTTGACATGGGTTATGAGGTGGACGTCGTAAGATACTTTAGAATTACCAATAGGCAAAAGAGTTCAATTCTCCTCATGTTTGCTGAAGCAATCTCCATCAGGTGCCTGAAACCTGATTCATGAGTTCAGAAAGAAGCGGTTATCAGTCTTTCCTCGCCCTGTCTGGTAACTCGATGTTTTCATCCTGTCTTTCATCTGATTACGTAACGCCGAAAAATTACACTGTGTATGATTACTATTGTTTGGGCTAAAGTGATTATTATTACTATTATCATGCAAATTTTAAAAACTAATGTTAAATCGGCACTTCAGTTTAGTTCAGAGACTTGACACTGACGGCGCAAAGGTAGTCCTAACAGCTATCTTCGCTCCATGTTGAAGATCAGATAGATACGAAAGATAAACAGCAAGGAGTGGTGATGGTTAGCGAATCGGCCAACAAAATATTGACCAACAAACATGGCGAAGAGAATGGAGAGGTATTGGACATGTACTGATGAGACCTTCACGTGACGCTACACATCCACATCTTCGAGTGAAGACCGAATAGGCATTGACGGACTTGATATGGGTCCAAGTGTGAGATAAAGAAGGTCATTTAAGGTGGAAATGAAAGCAATGACAGTGGACGGGAATTCAATAGAGACGTTCCACAGAATCCTTATTTTTCATTTGTAACGTAAGAAACGTATAATAATAATAACATGCGTGTAAATGAAAAGAGAAAAAAGGATATTTTGGATCAGTGAACCAGGTAGATATAACAATAAGACAACTATCATTATTATCGTCTCCTGTAGTTCCTAGAGGAACATAGGGATTCAAACGCACGTCTCCACTGAGTTCGGTTTTCCGTCAACGTTTTCACCTGGCTCCACGTCTACCCATATGCTTTCATCTCCTCTTCACATCACCTCCTCCACTCCATTTCACCCACGCATTGACGACCAACTCGCCGCTTCCCATTCGGGTCCCACTCGAGAAAGAGCCTGGCATGTGATGTCACTTGATGGTTGGTTTTCTCAGAGTATGGCCAGCCAATCCACCTCCATTTCTTCCTGCATATTTCTTGCACAATTGGTTCCTGCTGAGTTGGTTCATTCACTGCCAGAGATCCCTGTTGCTCATCTTTTCTGGCCGGCCATCTGACCTTGAGTAGTATTGAGCGAAGACAGCTGTTGATGAAGGTCTGTAGTTTGTTCGAAGTGCTTTTCGAGACACGGCGCGGTGCGGCGCCAAGTCTCTGATCCGTATAGCACATAGCACTGACTTCCCATTGGAGTTGAAAATCCGCATCTTATTTTCATTTTTTATGCTAAGTAGTGCTTTTGATCACCACACAGGACTTGACAGTAAGATAAGCTTGCCTTACTACTACTACTTACTAGTAATGAAAAAAGCACAAAAAGAGACATTTTATCATTGAATAAAACTTACCTCAGAATCAGGTTCTAAATCGCGTAATTGTCGATTTATCACTTCAATAATCACTTCAAAATCATTATGATAGATCAGCACTGAAATATCCGGAGAGTAGAATAAATCACAAAGAAATTTGATTACAGTATTTGTAGGCATAGTTGTTGAATTGACATGATGATCAGACAGTACTGGCTTGTTGTCAGTCAGCTCTAAAGAGCCGCTTTGACGACGACAGCCTAGATTAGAATTCCACAGACTTTCAATATATTCTAAATCATCATGAGTATTATTGTCAGCGCGTGAATTAGCTTCAAATATTTTTAAAAACTCCTCTAAATCTTTAGCTGTAGTGGCAGTAGATGTATCATTAGTGCAACTGTCATGTATATTGGACTGACAAAAGTTAACCCATTGGATTAGACAACTTTCTCTGTCATCACTTTTATGCTTCGGAAGAAAAGACACCATAAATGTTGGGTCGACTGAAATTAGAAACCAAAAAACACAAACATTGTAGATTATTTCCATATTAGATAAAATTTGATATAAGTATAAAACTTGTGCACTGTGATAGAGTATAATTCCATTACGGGTAACATTTATTTTGATAAAGTCTCACAATGTGTGACAGAGTAATATTTGCTGATGACCATGTTTCGAGTACAAATTATTGCCACTGATAATCATAACAAGACACTACTCACACAAATTTCTGACTTCCTTCAAATAATTTCATTATTTTCCATCGTTTGATTTGATTGGTAGTAGTATTTTCCATATTTCCGGTATGAGTGATGAGTCATTCCTATTGCACGTGTTGCGTGTAGATAACTGGATGAACCAGGATTCAGTGATCAACCTCTCTCTTCACCTACCTAGATTACCATTTAAAATTTTAACCCCCTCCCACCACCCTGTTGTGTGGTTGTTTGTTAATGCGTGCATGCAGTGCAATTGATGAGCTTTTTTCTAAATTACTTATCTTCTTCGGGGTCAACCATTCTTACCTGACCTACATTCTTATGTTCTGACAATCTGACTATCCCCGACCTACTAGTTTGACTAACCTATGTAGTTGACTTGACTCACAGTCATTGCAGGGTATTTTGTAAGTTATATTATTTTGCCTAATTCGGTCAACAGGGTCTTTTAACCTACAGAGCTTGTCCCACGTGAGTGAGTTTGTGGGTTTGAATGCCACTCCAATTCCTGCTTTATTTAGAATGCTACGTAGAGTCTGAGATGTCCCCTCTTTATGTGGTATAACAGTAGATGACTTAGATCCTCTCTTATTTATGTCATTATTACTAGTTTCATAATTCTTTTTCTTTTGGCTTTTTTCAATCTTCCTAATGAATTTTAAAGCATAGTTATTTGATACCAACGCTTCTTCTATCTGTTTCATTTCATCATTTAGGTCTTTTCTTGTGCTACTGCTCGGTTTGTTAGACACTTAACAACTGAGCCTGCCTTTGCAGACAATGGATGAGATGAATTAAAGTCCAAATATCCATTAACAGAATGTGTTGGCTTTTTATAAACACTAGTGTACAGTTTGCCTTCTTCTATTCGTTTTATTTTGCAATCTAACTTCATAGCTAATTCTCTTTGTTCATTTTCCGGTTCAAATGTGAATTTTATTCCCTCTACTAGTGAGTTTATATGTGTCAAGAAGCTAGAGATAAGTTCTGCTTTTAACATTGTATGAGAAAGTGTCATCCACATATCTCCACCATATTATCTTTGGAGAAGGATTACATGTATTAAGAGCAATCTTTTCCAAGCTGTCTCTAAAAATATCTGCTACTATAGGGGATATTGGTGATCCCATTGCTACACCATCTATTTGTTTATATAATTTGGCCTGGAATTTAAAGATAGATGTGAGGTATAACTGAATTCCTAAAATAATTTTCTCAATGGGCAGCTTCGACATATGAGTGGGTTCAGGATCTGCAGTTAGCTCTTTTTTAACTGCTTCTAAGGCCATATTGATTGGTATATTAGTGTACAGACTAGTTATATCAAAACTGACCATTTTTTCATTATTCTCTAATTCAATGTTATTTAGTTCCCTTTTCATTTCATATGAATCAGTTAGTCTAGAGTTTGAACGATTTCTAATGGGGCATAATATTAGAGCTAAGTGTTTTGATAATTCATAAGTAGGGGTATTCCCGAAATCTACTATTGGTCTTATGGGGTATCCTGGTTTAGGTAATCTTATAGTACCACACATTCTTCTAGCATTATTAGTTTTAGGCATTAAATTAAACCAATTAGAGTCATTTAGTGACGGCTTCATTCTGCGTATTAAATCCGCTGTAGATTTTTTAACCTTAGTCATTATTGTATGCACAGGCTTCTTAATTTCCTCATATGGACCCGTCTGAATATATTCAGTGCTTGAAACATGGTTATCAGTAAGTATTACTGTATAGCACACTGTCAGACTTTATCAAAATAAATTTTACCCATAATGGCATTAGACAAAAATTTATTTAAAATATCACACACAGTGATTACGCTGTATTAACAAAACCAACATTTATAGGAAACCGACACACACACACACACACACTCTAATGCAAAATACTTAGACTTTAAGTCTGCACCCGGAATCAGTAAAGAAGGATCTGGTTAAATGTCTGTTTAATTGGGCCAAGTGCCTGAATAACTAGTAAGCCAGTAGACTAAAATAATGAAGTCGAATAAATAATGGAAATATTACCAGTGAACAACTAACTACCCACCAGAATTTATTCAGAAATACATTAAGAACTACAGAAAAAACGAGATTAGTAATAAAAATGATGAAAATAACGAGGAAAATAATACAGAATTCAAAGCCTCTGCAGCACTTGCGTATAAAGAAAGAAGGTCATAAGGCCTCACGTAACATCCTCAATGAGGCTGGAATTAGTCAGCGTGGGCATTTAAATCTATCCACCAACGAACTCTCTCTCTTATAAATAAACTTTGTCGGCTTAAGGAAAAATTAATGCAGTTTACCAAATACCGTGTAATGCTGACTGTGAGGTCAATTCCATAGGTGAGTCAAACTAGTAGATCGGGGTCAATTGGATTACTGGAACATGAAACTTTAGCTAGACATAGAATAACTGACCCTGTTTAATTAAATAACCTTTAAAAATGCTCGGTTATCACACAATAGAATGGGCGGGACAGGGAAATTGTAATCAGTGAAGCTTTGTTTATCGATTCCACACCACGCGCATGCAATTGGAATGACATATCGCCTCTACCGGGGATATGGAAAGTCGCAACAAACACCAAGGGGAGGTTGGAGAGAGAGAGAGAGAGAAAGTATATACATTGTGAGAGAAATTGTGAAGCCCTGTGATTAAATTGATATGATTATGAGCAATAAATCTACACTCGAAACATTGTCATCCAGTTGTGAATATTGCATCACTCACTCACTGTGTGATGTTTAGAATGAAGTAATCTAATATGGAA